ACATCACAAAGCTCGTTTGGACATCAGGGCAAAGTTTTTTACGAACCGAGTAGTTAACTACTGGAATAAACTTCCTTCTGATTTAGTGGAGTCTGAGACCGTAGCAGCCTTCAAAAGGGGCTTAGACAATTGTTGGTCCACCCTTTTTCCAGAGCTATTGTAGTTGTACTGGTATATGTAGTGTATCTTGATGCTGGCATATGAAAGTGCAGAGACTGCTCTTGTTCTTGCATCATTCCATTGCAGAAGCAAGAAACAATCCAACGTCGAAGTGCTGGGGGCCGATTCACTTACTGGCACAAGGACTGGACGCTCGTTAGGCGGAAGCCTCTATCGTCCATCTGACCTGACCTGACCTGCAAATTAAATCACAGTTACAGGAAATATCACAATTCATTCACAAGCACTGTCAGCGCATGGACATTTTGCGCTTCTATCTGTTACCACGTCATACACATTGTTTCTCATTAACGGTGCTCTACCGACAAGCCCACAACTCATTGGATATATTGGTCCGGACAAGAGTACGTAAATGTCTGCGACATCCTAAGGATACCAGCGTCGCTTTATTTTTGCACCAATTGAGGATTGTGGCCTAGAGGTTCCGTGCCTTTCTGGTATGATCCCATTGCTTGGGAAGGACCGCATAGAAAGCCATTTTTCATCCATCCAGTTACCGTCAGCCCGTTGCCTTAAAGATCATAAGCCTACCTTATACTCCGACGGCGCGGGTTAGCGCGTGCGTAGAATCAGGGCGACCTTCGTAGTATCCTTAGCCCACGTGCGACGTGTGGTGGTTGCATAGCAGCGAAGCTTCGGTACTACGTACCGACGTACTACTGATGCCACCAAATTACTAGTAGTGTAATACGGGAACCTTCAGCAGCTACCATCTAGCGTCTGGCCACCAAACCGGGGTTCCATGGGAATCAAAGTATCTCTGACAAAAATGACGCGAAGGAAGCATTGGAGTATCCACTACAACAATCTGTGGACGGATACTTGCTTTGTGGGGTAATTACTGCGCCAGCATATCACAAGTGGCTAAGAAATTCCGTGAGTATTTGCCCTGGACTTTAGGGCAGAGGAACGCAATTTCGAACAGGTGTGCTGTCGACAAAATCCTGATGTTTCAGGGGCCGATGACCCTCATACCCAACCGGTCGCATACGGACAATAAGAAACACTTCTCCATGCCTTTCAGTCTTGTGTAGTAACCCACGACGCTTGCTGTAAGAGACACAACGACATCGCGAATCAGCTAACCGACGCCCTTCGTCGCAGAGGGGCCCAAATCATCCAGGAGCCTCGCGTTTTCTCGGCATCATCGTTTATCCAACTGGATTTAATCACCATAAAGTACTCCACAGCACACTTATTTTACGTGGCAATATGCGGCACCTACAGAATGACCTGTCACTACCAATTAAAAATCGACAACTACGGTGTGGGTGCTCATACGGAAGCTATAGCTTGCTTTGTACGCTCGGAATATTCTATGACATTAAATCGGATAATCGTCAACATTCGGGCTAATCTATATCCAGCCTGCGGAAACCACATTTCAACACTGGGGCTCACTAAACGTCACATACCGAACTTTTGTGTGTCTACTATGAGAGGACTCTAGAGTTTACGACACCCAAATGCGGGCTGCACTGTCACAAAACATCACACACTAACAACCTACACCTGCAGACTCGCAAGCGATTACGACCAACTTTTCGCCTTTAATATGATTAATGTTTCGATATTACGCCAGAACGTTTGTCCTATCTCGGCGAATGCATGAATTTGCCGAAGAATTATGTTCATAGAACGCGATTCCTAATAATGTGCACGATGGCCAATTCGTTCACTGGGACCGTAACTGCCGAATCAGGGAAGTGTTGGGTGTTGCTCGCCCGAAAACATTGCACTCCACGACGAGTTTCGAACTCGTTTGTGGTCATCATGTAGCGACAGCAGACATCGAGTCCGTGACTGTTAGAAAGTTAATTGAGACCTCCACTTTTTTCTGCTGGGCGGTACCCGATGTTCATCTTCTTCATCAGTTAGGGTCCCATTGATTGTGGCGATAGACGGTAGCCGTCTAAGGTTCCTATATTGTGCTGCCTCTGACTGCCGGACTTGGGTCCCAAGGACGATGAACACTTCGGGTTGGATGCACTTGTTGAAATAGCAGCGTTTGTCTCATTTGCGTTTGTTTCGTGAGTTTCTTTGCCTTCCCCCATCTCGCTCATTTTCCCTCTCCAACCCCGATCTCGCAGCCGATGCGTAATATGATAATAAGCATCATGCTATTTGAAGAGTGAATAAGCATTCTTTGGTAAGGATCACATAACATCCTGACTGTGTAGCAATCCAATATCCTGGTCGACGATTCGATTTGCCACATAAAGCATGACTACTGCGGGTAACATCTGTCGATTTTACGACCAGTGACCTTCAGCTGTGTTCATTGGGCGCTTACTCGGCCCGGATACCAACATACGTACTCAGAACATCTGACATCGCCAGTCGGTTGGTGTCTAGACGCTCACAACGTCGTTGCGGATGTTAACCAAGTCGCACCCGAAGATCGGCGCATGTAAGAGCGTGATCGGAGTCTACGCTCGTGCTGCAAACCTAGCGACGGTTATGGACACAGCCTCTTCAGTTGTAACTGCTGGCGATGTGGTCTATTTGAGCCCATGGCTTGTCCTAAGCCAATTCACACTCCTGCTGGTGCTGTTTGGGAAGTTAGTGCTCGTAAGACGAGCATCATCACACAGGTGTAGCGATCGCTCATCATTTTCATTACGGAATACTGCACCATCTTGGTCGCCCCGAAGCAGCTCTTCAGGTGACAACTTTCCAACTTCGGTGTTCCGATCACCAGCAAGCACCAGAGTATCCGTACTTTTTTATAACGAGGGTGCTGTTTCGGCTACTGATGGAAGTTATCTTTCAATAAGTCGGTGCTACGGTTTGTCGACTTTTTTGCAGCAATGACAAACAAGCAACGTTTGTTTGTTCGACTTTTTGCATGAGCCAATCAATCTGACAGCTACTGATTGGGATGCAGTCTACCAGGGCAACTCCAACCCAAATACTCAAGGCAAAGCCCGCACTAACTTGCCCGACATTTGATGATTCGTCATCTGCAGGCAAAGGCAAAGAGAAAATACCGCCAGTCTCACTTGTGGGAGGTCGCAGGATGAGCACTGAACTCGGATCTTGCAGGCGAGTTTCCGTTGAACAACAGATATCTATTGATAGGGTCCCCCGTGTTCTTGCAAGTGTTACCTGTTGAGACATTTCAGCAGATGAACTGATTTTCTCCGCTTTATTTGATATGGACATGTCGACTTTATCGGAGTGACGCCTTGCGATTGTGCATGAGTCGACACTAGAAGACAAGCGACTATCGAAGCACGAGATGGAGGACCAAATATTTAATGTTGAAGACGAGGGATAAAAGTGAAGTCGGAAAGGGTCGATAAGGATGAAAAAGCATATGGGAGGACGGGAAAACCTGGGCACTATTGTTCTCACTTCTATCCTGCATGCTCGATGCAGCAGATAAGGCGCTGTTGATTATTCTCTACGATGACCAGAGCATCAAGATATTGAAGAGGCCATTGTATTGCTTGAACAGGATGCTTTTACTTTTCCCAGTTCTAGACAGGAAGACTATTTGGATTCGTTAACAAAGCCTTTGGCTCAAAAAGCTGACAGTGAGACAGCGGATTTTTGGCACTGGGCTACGGAGAGTCATATGGAGTAGGGATCCACCCTCACTTCAACCCCCAACCTGGAGGGCTAGGAGACTGATTTTTTCTGGTCTAACCATTGATCATTCTGGGATGAGTGGCTCCGAATATGCGGAAAACAACCCCAGTATAGCTTATTAAATCAATGGAGCACGCATGCCATCGCACCACGTTAAGGTCCATTCTTGTAGCCTTGGTAAGCGGATGCGCTCACAGCGTTGTGAATGGAGCAAACGTTCTACGGCTAAAATATGCTCCTGAACGCGCCTCCGACATGTGTCTCATGCCTGTTCAGCGACTGTACTGAAGAAGTTACTTCCGCTGCACACACATAGTTCCCGGGAGTTGACAATATTCACCCGAGGCTAGCCAAGCTACTATCCCGACTCTTTCTACGGTGTTTGAATGAACAACATGTCCCTACCATTACTCCGATTTTTAAGGGTGTAAACGTTCGGGACACATCAGCCCTCGCCAATTGCTTCTTCTCTCAGTGTTCTCCAAGGCGTTGGAGTCGATCATTACTAATGCACTGATGGGTTACATAGCAGCGCCGTCGCAAAAGTTTCCGTCAACACCGGTCATGTACAACCAACCTATTGCCTGCTCTTGGTAATTGGATAGAAATTACAGAAGATGGGACCGGAACCGTTATCATCTATCTGAAACCTTCGACCGTTTGACGTTACCGGTGCGCAGTTTAGAGACTATCTTTCATGCACTATCTACTGGAATGAGACAGCGCTAGTTTAACTAGTGTGGTGGCCTTCCCCAAGATGATCGCGCAGGGCGTCTTGAAACACTACCTGACATCTGCTGTTTTGTGTGAATAGAACATTGGCATGTGAGCCTACGGCTTCTGACCTTCGGTGTCATAAAATCGTGATCGATGTCTTGGTTACATGCAATCAGACTGTCCCATAGGTACTTCTCAACCTGTGGGCGACTGCTTGCCTTTGTACTTCCATTGCGTCCAATTGCTCGGATTAACCGCTTACATGTATGATTGAACTTATTGTATTTCAAGTATCTCACCTTCAAGGGAGTCGGTTACCCATGGGTACAGCTGAATCCACAACTTACTGCCCCATGATCGCGTAGTTTGTCCCCAGGTGGCTTTCATCTACTGATTCTTTTTGCTGAAAATGACCGTACTAATTCCACTTATTTCGCATCCGTTCTTACTTCCGTTACATTTTTCGCCGACTTTATTTTGAATCCGTGTTTATTCTCTCATTTATTCAGCCTATGAAGTTGAATCACGACAGTCTGCTGAAGCAGCACGAGATACTTAAGACACAACTAGAGGAGGAGACGCTCATGAGGACTGACTTGCAAAATCGGATCCTGACGCTGACAGAGCAACTGGATTTCAAAGATAAGCTACTAAAAGAGGTAATGCCGTTTCCTTCGATCCACCTTCCTTCGTGTTGTTACTCTTCCTTCCATTGTGATACTCTTCTCTCTTGCCGTCTTTGGGCCTGACGCGCAGGTTTCTGACATTGTTACAAATATTCGTAACCCCGGTGGCGGATGTGGTTTTTACCTTTATCTCTAGGCTGAACGATTAATTTACGGACCTTTCGTTGCCAAACTACGTAGCATCATTAATGCGGCTCCAAGGGTTTGGTTTGCCTGGTCTCGTAAGTGACTTCTACACCCAAGCTTTTATTGCTACATGAGAACCCTACTTGAACGAACACGAGTACGCTATGTCATACCGCATCTAAGACTTGTGGAGAAGGTCTATATCTTCTGCGTACTCAAACGGATCTCATACCCGAAGCGCTTCATTCTGCATTGCCCGGGACCACCAATACAACGGTTAGGAATCGACTCACGTTGTCGTATATGAATGGAATCTCAAACATAGCAGCAGGATTTTTCTTACTCTTTAGGGTCAATGTTTTCCACCATCCATCGGAAACAATGTGGAGAATGCTCTTCAAAACTAGCATGGCATCCACTTGAACGGATTTCGCTTGTTTCCTATTGTCCGGTTGTCTTACCAGGGTCAGTGCGTTTCACGCTAACGCCAAACTAATCATTGACTGAATTGTTTGCAATTTTGCGATGAGTGGTGTTTGATGCTAGGTAGAGTACATTCTGCGTGCTGTCAAAAAGTGGTAAGTTCTGCTTTCTTGCGCTACGAGCCGATTACTGCGTTCTGCTGGGATTTGTATTTTCACACAGGCCAACCTGTAACATTGGTGATGGATATCAGACCTATAATTATTTGTTGTGAACTAACTTACTAGCTTATTTTCGTAGGACGCATCTTTCTAGCCAACGTTCTGCGATTACCTTGAACTCTCAGTTATAAATCCTCACCTCAATCTTATCGAAATTAAATCCGTCTGACTCCTGGGACAACATTTTGGCTCAAAATGTAACGGTATTTTGATGCGCTTCGTTTCACGAAAGCGCACTTTTGTCGAACAGTCTTACTGCACTCGATTGCTTTTCGGGGCCGCAGCAACACGTCTTTGCTGCACGCCTGAAATTTTCCCAGTTACGTCAGGCGGCGGAAGATGTTAATAAATTTATGTGCCGCATACGCAAGTCCCTTTCAAGCTGTCGTTATAATGAACTACTCCTCACCATGTTTAAAGAAGCAATGGTTATCCAATATCTGTTTGTTGGTATTCGTGACGAAAAAGCCTACTCTCGGCGAACGAGTACATACAGGCAGCATGCGCCCCGGTCAGACAAAGGGAAAACAATGCAACCATTGGTTCACTATCGAAGCGGTTCTCTTTCCGACGCAGTGCATCCGGTCATATCTAGTCAAGTTAAGTCAGTATAAGCTTTATATATCCAAATGGGTACATTTTTAGCATTTACCTTATCAACTGTAAATGTACCAAAGGGTTAGCATTAAAAATACAAACTTTACAAAAAGGTAGAAAAATGATTAGGATGCACTGTCATAGATCGATTGAACAACGAACACAAAAGCTTCGAGATTTGTAATTTTTCAAGTCAGACGGTTTACTTCAAATCTTACTTCAAACTTCGTTTCCGTTAAATTTTGTGTCCAATGACAGTTGACCGGGAATCTTGCGCTATTTCGCAGTGTTTGTATTCATAAGTTCGATGGAGTAGAGGGTGTAAGTGACCTTGAAAGTTGACCGACCAAATTATCTGTCAGATTCCTCTTGCTAAACTGAGATATATACAGTAGATAATGTAAAAAGTACGTTCGGCAAAAAAGGCAACGGTCGGTTTAAAGGCATATAATTCTACTTTCGACCAATCGGCAAATGTTCCTTGACTTACTATCGATGCGGCAAATTCATGAAAGCACTGCTGACTGTAGGCCCAAATAACATACCTGTCACAGATACAACTTTGACCATTTTGCACGTGTATGTTGTTCAGCTGTTCTCAGACGATCGATACCCATCATCATCATCATACACGTTAGCTACAGGTGGGGAACACCTCAGCTACTGTGCCGCCATACATAGAAAAAAGAGGACAAAATATGCGACTGGTGCAAGCCGGCTGAGCTACCAGTAACGGATGGGCATCGTTCCGATAAGCTACCAGCCGGCTACTGTGCATCAAAAAAATTACTATGCAAAATTATATGAGACTAAATAGTGAGATCGTGGTTGGAGGAGGAGGCTAAGAGGGATCGGTGGGACAAAGAAACTCACAACACGAACGCCACTGAGGTCGGCTCTAAGTCATATCAGCAAGCGTATCCAGCCAAACGTGTTCATCGTCCTTCGGACCCCAACCAGAGAGCCGAGACGCTTCAGTAGAGGCCAGCTTCGAAGTGAGGGCCTTCATTCCTCTCGACCAAGTCATGGCTTGGCCACCCCTCCTCTTATTCCATCCACACCCCGGCGCGCAAACAACGCACGTTGCGGGAGTTGGTGGGCTGGCATGCGTAACACCTGGCCGAGCCATCGGAGCCTGGTGTGTGAAATGACGGTGCTGAGCGGTTCATTTCCTTTTCCTGTGCCATAAACAAGGCGTCGAACACGCTCGTTACTCACGCGGTGTTCCCACCAGATATGAGCTAAATTGCGAAGGCACCGGTGCTCGAACGTAACTAGCCTCTTCAGGTCCGCTGATTTAAGCGGCCAGGTTTCACAACCGTACAGTAGGGTCGCACGTACTGTTGCATTGTACACTCTACCCTTCAGGGCAAGAGTAATGTCGCGCCGGCGCCATAGGTGGCGAAGCTTAGCAAAAGCACTTCGAGCTTTTGCTATACGGTTCGTGATCTCGTCTTCGATCCCAAGGGCGCTGATACAACCTCCCAGGCAGTTGAATTTTTGAGCGACTTCTAGCTGATCCCCACCAACGGTCAGCGTAGGGGGCGGTCCAGACCAATCTTGGAAGAAGGGATTGCACTTCGAGGGTGCGAAGCAAAGCCCGAAGTGACGGACAGCTAGTGCTAATCTGTCCAGTGCCGCTTGGCACGTTTGTGAGCTGTCACAGATTAGGCAGTATCATCAGCGTACTCCAAGTCAAGAAGTCGTTCTCCTGGGAGTAGCTCCACACCTTCTAAGTCGTGTCCTGTGAACGCGATTTCCATGACTTCGTCAACAGCGAAGTTGAAGTGGAAAGGTGACAGCAGGCGTCCTTGTCTCACACCGCTGGAGATATTACAGGGCGACTACAACTTGTCGTAAGCCCTCACTCTGCCCGAGCTATGCGCATATAATGCTCGGATAATATTCACATATTTCTCAGGTACACCTTTCCTGAGTAGACAGTCCCAAAGTGCACGTCTATCTACCGAATCGGATGCACCTTTGATATCGAGGAACACGACAACGGCGTGTCGCCAATATATGTGATGGTGCTCCAACAACTGACGCAAGGTGAAGATGTGGTCAATGCAGCCACGACCTCGACGAAATCCGGCTTGCTCTTCACGAATCTGGCTTTCACGAGTGCCAGTCAGTCTGTGAAGGATGACAGAGGTAATCAATTTGGAGGCGATGGAGATCAGACTCATTCCCCTCTGGCTGCTGCATTCCGATCATGAGCCTCCCTTGAAAATTGGGACTATGATGGAGCGGCTCCAATCGGTTGGGACAGTTTCTTTCTCCCACATTTTGACTAATGACTCGTGTAAACCATCCATAAGAGCAGGTCCCCCAAATTTGAAGAGGGATGGAGGAAGGTCATCTGGTCCCGCGGCTTTATTTAACTTCAACAGTTTGATCTCATGTTCGACTTCTAAGCGATAGGGTGGATCCAAAGGGACAGCCCAGGGAGCGGGGCGATCAGTGACCGGCGAGAAGTCTACCTATTCCGACCGATTAAATTGCCTTTCAAAGTGCTCAGCCCAGCGCTCCAAGCGTTTTGACAAGTTGTGGATAGGTTGTCCACTGTCGTCACAAACTGTTTCATTAACACCAGGTCTACTGCTGCCCGATTCCCGTATCAGCCGAAATAACTTACGATGGTTACCAAGGGCAGCGGCCATTTCCATCTCTGATGCACCATGAGACCACCAGAATTCGCGGTCTCTCCACCGAATAGCGCGGAATTTTACCCGGAGCTCTTTGCGAGTTTCATTGTGTTCGCTTCCAGCCGGAATATGCCGGCGAGCATCTATAAGTTCCAGAGACTGTGAAGAGATCCAATGTCCATGTTGGCGATTAGACATACCACATGAGGATTTACCTGCTGCTAGTAAGTTCTGGTGAATATGAGACCAATGAGCTTTAATTGCATCCAGTGAGCGTTTATCGAACTCGCATGACAGATTACTTTGATAGGCTTTCAGAACAGCTTTCTTCGCAAGTTGGCTGGTGTCAATGCGGTCACAACGTCGTCGTTGGCGTCCACCAAAACGCATCCGCAGGTAAGCACATACAAGTACATGGTCGGTGTCCACACATGTGCTCCAAATCAAGCGACAGTTCTGGATGCAGTCTCTCCATCGGTAACTTATCGCGATATGATCGATTTGCGTCCATAGCTGGTTCGAGGCTGGTGGGCGCCAAGTCACCCTCCGGAGGGTGCTGTGTCGGAAATTAGTGCTCGCAAGAAATAAGCGAGCATCCTCACACAAATGAAGTAATCGCTCACTGTTATCATTACGGGAGCCTACACCATGTTGGCCGCCCAATTGCTGCTCATCAGTGGATAATTATCCAAACTGAGTGTTCAGATCCCCAGCCAGCGCTACAGTGTCCGAGCTTCTTCTGTAGCGAAGGAGCTCGTTCAGTTGAGAACAGAAGTCGTTTTTTACCGAGTCATCGCTAGTGTTCGTCGGTGCATAGGCAGCGATAACGAATAGTCACCTGTTAGTCCCGCACGACTTCGAAGCTTTGAATGAGTCAGCCAATCGGACCACACATCCAGCTACTGATTGGAATCCAACCAACCAGAGTAGCTTCAGCCCGGGGACTCAGGGCAATACC